TCAGGTGAGCTGTCCACCTACCGCTCACCCCTGGGGCTGCTCTCTCCCAAGGATCCCAGCAGGGCCATTGTGGAGTCCTGTAGCCAACAGGGACAAAGCAGATGCTGATTGGAGCCATGAAATTTCTAGAGCGACTAGCTGAGTTCCTGGTGGAGAGGAAAGTGACTCTGCTGAAGTTCACCTCCACCTGGGTCCCACCCGTGACATCTCAGCCACCTGCCTTGGCCTCTCTAAGCTGTAACCCCCCCCCCCCCTCTTGATAAAATGGAGATCATGATTCTGGCTCCTGGGAGAGGCTGTGAGTCCACAGAGCCTGCTCAGGTCAGGTGAACAGGTAGACCCTCAAAGGAGGGTGTGGTAACTGCCCCAAGGATCCCTTCCCCCCATCCCTCAGCAGAGGCAGGGTTCTGGGCAGGTGGGCCTCGTGGTGGCCTGGGAGGACCTTTGAAGCCAGAGCCTGACAACCTGTAAGGTCAAAGGCAATTTTCCAATTCACGAGGTAAAGGGAGCTCAGAGAGGTTGAGCGACTCACCCACTTGAGAGGCAGCACTCACCTGGGCTCACCTGGCCACCTCTCTGAGCTTTCCTGCAGTTGCACTCATCATTAAGAGCTTCTAAAAAGGAGACACTTAGGGGTCCTTTTATTTGTTTTTTTTTTTTTAAAGTCCAAAAGTCTTTTAGAGGCTCCTTGAGAAGACCATAACTGTGGTCACACAGAGACTGAGGCAGAGCCCTGACTCCCAGTCCCTCAGCTCCAGCCACAACCTTATGCTAACTCTTGCCAATCCCTCCCCTCCCAGTGGGCCTCGTTCTGAGGGCTGTGGGCAGAGGGCAGCCTGGCTTCCACGCTGAGACTGAAGGCCTCCCTAGAGAGGGGTGATTGTGGATGGAGCAGTGAGGCCCAGAGATGGCAGACACGCCTGCCCAGTGAGGTGTCAGATGTCCACCAGGAACCTGGAACAGCCCCTGCATAGGACTGTGATTGGTGGTCCTGTGTAGTCAGTGCCGAGCTGGGCTGGCCCCATTCCCTTACCTGACCAAATTTGGGGGTTAAGTCGTGGTTCCAGGAGCTTCCTTAGCGGGAGCAGCCCCGGACAGGGCTCTGTGAAGTGTTCCCACTCATCGGGCCCTTCCCATCCTGACTCCCCTCTCTCCGTCAGTGTCGGGGCCTTCGTGAAGACCTGGCTGCCCTTCGTCCTCCTCCTGGGCATCATCCTAACTGTCAGCCTCGTCTTTAACCTTCGGTGATGGCTGCCTCATGGCCTGAACCCACCACACTCCTGAGGAGGCAGTCGCCACCCCTTTTGGTTCCAGATTCTTTCTCACCCCAAAAGGCAGGGATGGGTTTGCTGGTTTTGACCCAGGGGTCTGGGCTGGATGGGATGGAATAAGGGCTGAAGATGAGCATGGGGCGGGGGTGTTTGTTGTGTCTCACTGGTCACTAAGAAGCTCCCTGTCCCCTCCTTCCCAGGCTTGTGACCCCCGCCCTTGAGGCACCCTCTTTGTTCATCTGTTGGAAAAGCCTTAGCTTCCCTCTGTAGCGTTGCTCCTGCCACTGCCTGCGGGGCTCCCTCTGCCTCAGCCCAGTGCCCGGTGGGGAGGGGAGCACATTTGGACCACCGGACAAGGCAGCACAAGGGGCCAGAGCTGGATTTGGAGCACATCTGCCTGCCAGGGCTCTGGTCCCAGGGTGGGTGGAGGACACCGAGAAACCTTCATAAGCTAAGCTGCTCTGGGACCTTGACTACTAGCCTCTAGAATGGTCTAGTAGGGCTGGATGGGCCCCCAATCCGTTGTCTGCCAGAAGCTGCGCCAGGGGCAGGTTGTGCCCTGTCTCCTGGTGTCCTCCAGCCCCTGCAGCCCCTGCTTCCTACTCTCCCTGGGCTTCCCGGCACTTGAGCCCATCTCCCCCTGCAGTTTGGGGCCTGGGCTCCCCCAGTCTTCCTGGACAGGTAGCGTGATGCTGACATGTCCAGAGCGACCCCCTGTAGCCCAGAGCAATGTAAACAGAACTGGGCTCCAGCCCCAGGTATGGGCCTCGCATCGGTGAGGGCACCCCGTGCATCCAGGATGTGGGGAGCCGTCAGAGCAGCCAGTGCCATCGGGGAGCGGGAAGGGAGCCGTGTCCTCCCACCTGCCATAGCTCCCCTTATCTTCAAGCTGTAGAAAGGGCACGTGCTGCCCCTCACTCCCGCTCCATGGATTCCTTGTGCGGGGCTCCCTGGGCAGGGCAATAAAGAGTTTGACTCCAGACTCCAAGGTGTCTTGTCCTTGTTTTCTCCCTTCAGTGGTCTCTTGCCCCTTCAGCTTCTTTCTCCCTGCTGTCCTGCCCCCTGGAGAGCGGTCTGGTTGGCAGGGCTGTGGTGGAGTCCTCGTCCAGTGCTTACCTCATGCAGAGCTGGCAGGCATGTCCGCCTCCCTCCAGTACCCCCGGCCCTTGCCCGGGGCTGTGGGAGCTCCGCACCCTCCCATGTCCACCATCCGTGGGCTTTCTCCTCAATGCAGATGAGTACTGATTGGCAGGTGGGGCTGTGCAGACCAGCGCCCTGGGCAACCAGGGGTACACAGTTTGGGAATCACCCCAGCCCCGGCCCCTACCTTAGCCATCGGTCATGTCGCCGAGTTCCTCATGCTGACCCCCAGCGATCAGGTCACCGCCCTGCCCCATGGCACCCCACTTCTCAGGGACCTCCAGGACCCTGCTCTCCAGCACGACGGCAGCATTTCTGTTGCTTTGCTTTCCTCCTGTTGAAGTTACGGCCCTCCTTGCCAAGGTTTGGCTTAAAAGCCACTTCCTTAGTGACGTCTTTCCTAACTTGCTCTATGGCATCTATCATTTTAGTTGAACTAGCCAAGGATTTGGTCTCTGAATCCTGAGGGCCCTTTGTGTTCATCTTGAGGATGACCTTGAGGGCAGCTCTAGCTGCTGGCCCTCAGGGCCCTGGAGGCCTCTGTCAACTCATCCCTGACCCTGCAGGGCTGGGGTTTCTCCAGGGCAAGACAGAGCCACTCCCTCCCCACTTGAGAGCAATTGCATTTTCAAAACTCTGTTTTGCATGTTGGGATCCATCTGAGAGTTGGGGGGGGAGAGGGGTGGGGGGGAGTTCCTGTACAGAGGACAACCACAGCAAAACAGAAAAAAGTTGTAAGGCCTGCTCCAGCCCAGCAGAACTTTAAATTAGCCTTGGGAAAACAGGATATAAAGGGGCCATAAAAATCACCAATAGTTATTGAGTGCTTACTGTGCTCTAGGCCTTGGAATAAAGTATCATTTATCCTCACCACAGCCCAATGAGGTCAGTGCTATGGTCCCCATTTTACAGATGAAGAAATAAGCACAGAGAGGTAAAGTGATTTGCTCAAGGGCACAGAGGTAGGAAGAGTGGAACCGTGTTCAAGCTCAGTAGCCTGGTTCCAGAGCCACCCCACAAGATGTCCTGGCTGGAGCACAAGGGGTAAAGTGGGGAGGGGCTGTTCTCCAAAGGTCTGGGTACTATGATCAAAAAGGAGAATGGAGTAAAGGGACACTCCTTTCAGCGGTCCCCTGAGATGGCTGCTGTCATTGTCCTTGTTTTATAAAGGCAGAGAGTGAGGCTTAAAGAGATTGTCGTTGATTCAAGTCCACTGGGGACCATGTGGCAGAGCCAGAAGTTTAAGCCAGACCCACTGGCCTCCAGGCCCCTGCCTCTTCACCGTGAGAGTTGCCCAGTCTAAGTGCAGAGCGCAGCATGGAGGCAAGGAGCCCTGGAGGGACAGCGGCGGCAAGTGGGGAGACCACTCCTGCAGCTGGGGACCAGGGCGTGCCAGCAGACCGGGGTGTTGAAGGGACAGGAAGCAGAGTCTTTGGGGAGGGCCCTAAGGATGTGGGAGACCAGGACATCAGAGTGGGGTGTCTGGGAGTGAGGCTGAGGAGTAGGACAGCCCAAGAGTTAAAGTGTCTAAGGGAGGCTGGGCCGGTTGGGAGCACATTTGTGAACCGGACACAGGGTCACCCTGGTTGTCTGCCAGCACCTTCCAAAGCTGAGGAATGACAGATAAAAGTGGGGTGCTAAAAGGGTCCTCTGACAGCTGTGTGCACAGGCAGAGCTGGAGAAGCTGAATGGAGGCCAGGAGGCAGGGAGGAGGAGGGTTCCAGAAGAGGCTGGGCCGGTACTGACCCCTGGGAGGGCAACAGTGATGGGGGACGGGGACGGATGGGGAAGGGTGGGGCAGTCTGGGAACGGGCAGCAAGTAGCAGGAGGCCGGGGCTGTTCACAGCAGTGGAAACTTGGAAGTTAAGATTTGGTAGGTGAGGGGGAGGGGTGTGGAGACACAGTCAGGGGACCAAGCAGCTTGGCTGTGGCCAGCGCTTCCCAGGAGGCACATGTGGACAGGGAGGAGCAGTGATGGTGGACTGTGTTGGAGAGGGGACACTTGTGGAAATGGACTGTGTTGGAGAGGGGACACCTGCTACCTACCACATGCCCGCTTGTGCCGGGCGCTCTCCTGTCTCTTAGAATAAGGCTCTTCCCACTTCTATCCACAGTGTGCAGGAGAGGAAATTGCAACTCGGCGTGTTTGAGACACCTGCCTAAGGTCACAAAGTGGCAGAGCGAGAACTCTCTCTACTAAGGGTCCTCTGACTGCAGTCTGCAACCCTTCCAACCCTGCTTCTTAGAAAGGTCTCTAACCTTGCTTTCAAAGCAAGTTCCTATCAGCAATTCAGCAGGCAGGGTGGGGGCACCACCCATTCCACAGCTGAGACAACCAAGGCTCTGAGGGGTTGGTGCCGCTCTGCCCTGCGGTACAGGAATTACAGAATAAGTCCGCAGTGGAGCTGGGGCCAAGCCCCGGGTGCCTCCCGCCCACCAAATTGGCTCTGGGTCCTCTGCAAGGCAAGGCTTCGCAGCACCCCACCCCACCCCCCGCCCCGGGTGCCGAGAGTCCAGGCCTGGTTTTGCATCGGGCCCTGCTGAGAAGGTGAGAAGGTGTTTCCTCCTCCTCCTCCTGGGGCAGCTGCTCTGGGCTGCTGATTGAGTCAGCCTTAGTCCCTCACTGCACGTCTCCTGAAGTTCAGCCGTGAAACTCGGCTGCCAGGGGAGCCGAAGTCACCCTACGAAGGTGTCTGAGCCATACTGGACCCCTCCAGGTAACATACCTCAGGGCCAGGGTTCCCTGCCAGTGTCCAACGGGTAGGCACTTCCACCTGGTATCCTGGGTACCCTCTGGGGCCTTGGGTGTGGGAGGAGGTGGGAGAGGGTCTGGGACTGGAACACATTGACCAATGGGTCTGTCCCATAGGGTCGAAACAGAGTGGGGAGGACGGGACACTTGGTTCTGCCTCTAGAAGGAGAAGGGGCTGCAGGGAGGGAGGCGCTGCTGGGGACCCCAGGCTCAGACCTGCAGGACAGGGGCAGGGTCGGTTCTGCAGAACATCCCCCACCTCCCTACTCAATCACACACACCCGGTGGTCCCCAGGGCACCAGAGCACACCCCACAACACAGTCCAGTCACACATACAGCACAGGAGGAAATACACAGTGCACGCGCCACACAACGCTGTCACCGGAAAGTTACTGAACGTACCAACACAGACAACAGTCACCCACGCGGCATCACATTGTGACATGATGCACAGACACACACGCATTGATACAATATTCACACCCACACAATAAACAGCCTCCTAGATCCCACAGTATGCAGACTCTCACAAGGGCACAACATAACACAGAGACCTCAACACAGCCTTGCACACCATGCCACAGAAGAGCCCCCGACCGTGCGTTTGCAACACCCAGCACTTTGAACACAGCAGATGTGCAGGAAGTATTGTTAACATTGGGCACATGGGCATTCACAGTGTTATACATGGTACTCGATATAGACATTCGGGAACCCCAAGCCCTGGGGTGAGGGTGGGGCAGCACAGGGAGAGGGCTCTCTCGGGCTTGACTCAGCTGGGCGGGCACAAGCCAGAACCTGCCTGCAGAGCACCCTCTTCTCATCTCAGCCTTGCCCGGTGCCCTGGTGTGGGAGAGGCCGGGAGGGGCAGCAGGGGAGGAGAGGCTGCCCAGCGGGCTCACGCCATGCCTCTGCTCTGCCCATGGCCCAGTCATGGGTCTCTTGCCGCGTTCACATGCCCCTCTGAGCTTGGCAAATGTTTTCCTTCCGGAGTCACCATGGTACCTGAGCAGCCTGGGCGGCTTTGCCAAACTTGGCCTCCACCTCTGGGACCCCGGCCAGGTCCTGGGTCAGGGCAAGGGGGAGAACCCATGTGGCCCAGAGGAGAGGGGCTCAGGGGCTCGGGGAAGAGGGCAGGGGTGGCAGTAGGGGCATCCCTAGCTGGAGACCTCAGTGGGAGTGGGTGCAGTGGTTACCTCAGAGGGGAGGAAGTGGGGGTGTGGCTGGGGAGGAGATTGCTTCAAACAGGAAGGCCAAATGGGCCAGTGGAGGTGAAGGGTGGAGGGAAGGAACCCATATTGGGAGGTTCCCCGGGGCAGGAGGGTGAGCAGATGTGTGTGTGTGTGTGTGTGTGTGCCTTCCCCATGTGTGTGCAGGTATATTTCTGCATTCAATTAATCAAACTTTTACCAACTATCTGTTGTGTATAACATACGGGGTTTTGGGGTGAGGCCCTGTCCCTATCTTCAAGGAGCTCACAATCCAGTTGGTGGAGGGGCAATTTCTGTGCAAAAGTCAGTGTGATTTGTATGAATCTCAGGTCATGTTTTTGTCCCCAGGGTTATTATACATTCTGTGGGTCCTCGTGTGCAGGTTTAAGAAAATGTTAGGTACAGGGGCACCTGGGTGGCTCAGTCGGTTAAGCCTCTGTCTTCGGCTCAGGTCATGATCTGGTGGTCCATGAGTTCAAGCCCTGTGTCAGGCTCTGTGCTGACAGCTGGGAGCCTAGAGCCTGCTTCAGATTCTGTGTCTCCCTCTCTCTTTGCCCCTCCCCCACTCCCACTCTGTCTCTGTCTCTGTCTCTCTCTCTCTCAAAAGAAAATAAACATATATATATATTTTTTAATTTAAGAATATGTTAGGTACATGTCCTGGTCTGGGCATGGGTCTATATGGGACTATAACTGCATAGGGTCCTTTGTGGAGGAACATGTGTCCACGTGCCTCTCTATGCAGGTATCAGTGTGCCCATGTGTACACCTCCCCGTGGGTAGTTGTGTCTTCAGTGTCAGTGTGTGTGCATGTGTGACTCTGTACACGTCTTCAAGTGTGTCTATGCGTGTATTCATGAGCCGGTGTATGCACGTGTCCATGGGGGTGCATCATGCCACCTTGATCTGCCCAACATTTGGGTGTATATTTGGGCAGAAAAGGGCAGTCGGGGCGCCTGGGTGGCTCACTCGGTTAAGCGTCTGACTCTTGATCTCAGCTAAAGTCTTGATCTCAGGGTCGTGAGTTCAAGCCCTGCGCTGGGCTCCACTCTGGGCGTGAAGCCTACTTTAACAAAGAAAAAGGAAAGGCAGTCAGCTCCTGGATGTGCCCCGTATTCGGGCAGGGCCTGACCTGACCTCTGGTCTGCCCCCAGGGAGCCACGTGTGTCCAGCTGGGGCACTGCCCCAGCTGATGCCCCACAGGGGTCCCCCGTCTCAAGAGGGACTCTGGACCCTGCCCTGCCTCCTCATGGCGCATGAGCCAGAGCCTGAGACTGATGGACTGTTAGACCTCAGCTTCCTGACAGAAGAGGAGCAGGAGGCCATTGCTGACGTCCTGAAGCGAGATGCCCGCCTTCGCCAGTTGGACGAGGGCCGGGTCAGGTGAGGCAGGGCAGGGGAGCCCAGGAGGAAGGGGCCCCAGCTCTGGGAGGCTCAGGTGCGCCAAATATCTGCGTAGTTCTTGTTTTTGCCCATTGGTTGCCTCCGCCCTTAGCCAGCTCAGCTCCTCACCCCTCCCAAGGTGGCTGCACGAGCTCTCTTACCAGCCTTCCTGCCTCCCAGCTTGCCCTCTCTGAGCCCCTGGTCATGCCGTGCCTGGAGCTCCCCGGATCTGTTCTTAATATCCCCTAGCAAAACCTCCTCTGTTTCCTCAGCATCTCATGTCAGGGCCAAGCTCCTAAGTGTGGTCTGCAAAGCCTCCCTGATTAGTCCCTGCCAGCCTCCCCGATCTCATCCTCCACCAGCAAGCCCCACCCCTGACACACATAAAGTGTCCACTACAGCCACCCAAGTGCTTAACAGTCCCCGAACACACCCTTCACTCCTATGCTGTCCCTTCTTCCTGGAAGAAAGAGCACAGTGGCAGAAGAGCATGGGACTTACAAGTAGCCTTTGGGGACAGACAGACACCTCTCAGCCATGTAACCTTGGGCAGCTTACCCGACCTCCCTAGCAACACTCTCCTCATCTGTAAAAGGGGCCTAAGGAGCACTACCTCATAGAATTAGGAGGAGGGATTATGCACAGTAGTCATTTAATGAATGCTAATGATTCTCCTTCTCTGCCAGGAGAACTCCAATTTGTCCTTTAAGAAGCAATTCAAATGTTACCTCCAGTGGGAAGGCCTCCTAGATTCCCACAGGCAAAGCTGGCCCTTCTCATATCCATCATGGCACCTACCTCATTATAGTGTACTTATCTACTCTGGATGCAGTCTTCCCACCAACCTGAGCTCCTTGACCCAGAGTAGGGATCGAGTCTGATTTGTTGTGTCCCTGGGTCCAGGTCCAGGGCTTGGCACAGAGTGGGTGGCAGGAATGTTGGTTGGGTGACAGCCATCCCCTCCCTCATCCTCCAGCAAGCTCCGGGCCTCGCTGGCAGACCCCGGGCAGCTGAAGATCCTGACGGGAGACTGGTTCCAGGAAGCGCGCTCACAACGGCACCACCATGCCCACCTTGGCTCTGACCTTGTCCGAGCCTCTATCCGCAGAAAGAAGAGCTCCAGGGGTGAGAGGAGATCCCTAGGGTCGGGCTGGCTGCACACAGACCAGGGCACTGGGTATACATGGACAGGAAGATAGGGCCCCTGGTACTGTGTGTCTTTGGGTGGGCACCACCCCTCCCAGGAGCAGGAGGTAAGTGAGCATCTTCAAAGGCCAGACTTCCTGAGACTGAGGGTTCACAGAACTTCTCACCCAGGCACGGGAGACCAGGCTCCAGGCAGCGATAGGGAGGCTGAGGCTGCGGCTGCTGAAGAAGAAACTGAAGAGGAGCTGGAGCCCAGGTGAGGAGGGGTGACAGGGAGGGGAGGGTGCCTACCAGTCCCCTGGGGCCTATCCCCTGACAGCCACCTCTCCCTTCTAGGCTCCCCACGGACGAGGCCCCCCAAGAGATGCTCAGCAAGGCTGAGGTGAGTAATGAGTCACTGAATGAGCCGATGAATGAATGGGATGTGAGAATCAGGAGATCCTGGTCTGGGCCGCTGTCATCCGCCTCTCTCCAGTGGAGATATGGACCTGGCCTCTAAGGGAATCTCAGAAGCCGGCTATTAGAGGTGGTGGGGGACGGAGCTGGGCGAGGTCCAGGACTCAGACACTACTGTGCCACCAGTGGGACCCTGGGAGTCAGGCAGGGCAGGCCCTGACATGTGAGGGGGTGTGAAGTACAGGCCCAACTGGTCCTGCAGCTGCTTGCCAGCCCTGCCTTGAGGACTGTGCTGAATCTGTCTGGAGTAGCCAGCTGGAGCCTCTGACCTCTGACCCCACTGCGACCTTTGACCCCTTTGTCACTAGACCCCACTGTGACCTCTACTCCTTGCTTCTTTCAGGAACCTGATTCTCCCTCACCATATGTCCCCCTAAAGACTTCAGAGCATGAGGAAGAGCCCCAGGCCCAGGAAGGTGAGTGGGAGGGTGTGTATTGGGGAGTAAGGAGGTTTCGGGGATCAGAGTCTAAGTGACCCCAACCGCCTGTGGGGGTCACCTTCTCTCTCACCTTCTCTCTCTCTTCTCTTTCTTCTCTCTCTCTCTCTCTCTCTCTCTCTCTCTCTCTCTCTCTCTCTCGTGTGTGTGTGTGTGTGTGTGTGTGTGTGTGTGTGTGGTCTCCTTGGGCGTCCCGCAGCGCTGGGGCCTGAATCTGCAGGTCACCAGGGTCGCAAACCAGTCCCTACAAATTGGCTCAGGGGCGGGCAGGAGAGGGCCACGCTCAGCAGCTTGTGCCCCATCCCAGCCCCGGGCCCAGGGGCCCCACAGGTCTACGCGGTGGAGGCGGACCCGGAGCCCAAGCCGCGGTCGCGGGGAGAGGAGCCACCGCCTACTACAGCCCAGGTAGGCGGGAACGGCCCGCGGCTGCTCCCAAGACCCGGAGCGGATTATGGGCGGGCAGTGCCCTTTGCCCCAGACTTTAAGCCGCCTGGGAAGGGGCTGGGAAAGAGGGGGCGCCCGGTCACTTCCCCCCTCCCCAGACCCAGGTGGCGCCAGAGATCCTGGAGAACGGAGAGGAGGCCCCGGGGCCCGACCCCTCACTCGACCGCATGCTCAGCAGCAGCTCCTCCGTGTCCAGCCTCAACTCCTCTACGGTGAGGGGTGAGGGAGAGGACCTGGGGACGCGGGAGACCGGTGGGGAGGGGGGCGCCTTCCCTCCGTAACTCCGCGCGTGGCCCGGGCCTGACCCCTCCCTCGCCCCCCCCCTCCCCTTCGGCGACCTGAGCCCTGCCTGAACGCTCTCCCTGACCTGCACCCTCGCCCGCAGCTGAGCGGCAGCCAGTTGAGCCTGTCCGGGGAGGCGGAGGCGGGCGCCGTGCAGGTGTGCGGCTCTGTGCACTTCGCGCTGCGCTACGAGCCGGGCACCGCGGAGCTGCGCGTGCACGTGATCCAGTGCCAGGGCCTGGCGGCCGCGCGACGCCGCCGCTCGGACCCGTGAGTGCCCGACCCGCTCTCGCCGCCCCACCCCACCGGTCTTCGTGACCTCAGTTTCCTCGTCTTCAAAATGGGGAGTATCAATGTCCATGGGAGGCGTGGGTGAGATAACTCCTGGGAAGCGCTGCACGGGAAGCCGTGCTCCCCCGGCTGGAGCTGGGGAGGCCCACTGGGGGGGGGTAGGCGCCGGAAGGGCCCCCCCACTCAGCTCCAGTCCTCCCCTCCCCCTGCCTCAGCTACGTCAAAAGCTACCTCCTCCCGGATAAGCAGAGCAAACGCAAGACGGCGGTGAAGAAAAGAAATCTGAACCCGGTCTTCAATGAGACTCTGCGGGTAAGGCTGCGACGACCAAAAGACTCCCCCATTAATGAACCCGACGGCCCTTCCTGCGGGGACCGGGTGGCAGGGACCGCCATAGTATGGTCATTGCAGGTCGCTCCGATCCTCCGTTCTGCGGGAGGAACGGCAGGGAGGCCCTCCGTCCATGCGTTCTCCAGTGGGTCAGTCTAGTGGTGGGCATGGCGCTAGTCCAGACCCCCATTTAATGGCCTTCGGGGCGCCCCCGGATTCCCTCGTGCAAGGAGAGCGGTAGGACAGGGGCGTACACTCCCGCAGCGCTGAAGCCGGGGCCAGCCGCGGTGGTCCATTAAAGCGCACTTCCTGTCCCCAGTACTCCGTCCCGCAGGCCGAGCTCCGGGGCCGCGTGCTGAGCCTATCCGTGTGGCACCGCGAAAGCCTTGGTCGCAACATCTTTCTGGGCGAAGTCGAAGTGCCTCTGGACACGTGGGACTGGGGCTCTGCATCCACCTGGCTCCCCCTGCAGCCCCGGGTGAGGCAGCTAGCCCGCTTGGGGAGATCTCCCACCTGCACCCTACCGAGCTTTCCTCCAGCCCCACTCAGACTCCGCCTTAGGCCTCCTCTCCCCTCGGGGCTACCTTACTCGCCACCTTACTGCTCCCTTCGAGGGCCTGGCCCCCGACGGCCGGTTGGGTGCCCCCGACTGGCCGCGCCCGGTCGATGTATGGAGACCCCACCCCTTTGCGGCCCCTTCGGCTTGGGCCTGCTCCCGCCCCTGACGAGCCCGCCTCTCGCAGGTCCCGCCCTCTCCCGACGACCTTCCCAGCCGCGGGCTGCTCTCTCTGTCGGTCAAGTATGTCCCCGCCGGCTCCGAGGGTGAGTGACCGCCCGGCGAGAGGCCGTGCTGGACCGGCCCTGGGAGGAGGGGACCTCCAGTCTCGCAAGGGCGTGGAGCCTCGGGCCTGAGCCGAGCCTCTCCGCAGGCGCGGGACTGCCCCCCAGCGGGGAGCTGCACTTCTGGGTGAAGGAAGCTCAGGGCCTCGTGCCGCAGCGCTCAGGAACCCTGGATTCCTACGTACAATGGTGAGGGGCATCGGGACCTTCGCGCTTCCCTTCCTCCGCGCCCCCTCCTCGGGAGCGCCCCACCTCCGACAAACCCCTCCTAATCAACCACCCTTGATCCCCCCCAGTCTGATCTTTGACTACTGAGCGGGGGTGAAAGGGACGACTGGAGCAAAGGCCTGTCAGGGAAGGACACCCTTGAGGAACTGCATTTCAGAATGACTGGCTCTTCCCTGAAAAGACCTGGAAGGCCAGGCTATGGGGCTTGGCCCTGAACTTGCAGTTCAGTGGTTTTCAAAGTACCCTCTAGGGGTCTTCTAGGGGTGCCTCCAGGTGGTACCCCACACTCAGAGAGTGAAATGGAGTTCAGCGGATCAGGTTCTGAGCTGCAGACCCAGATTCCACCATGGACAGTGTTGTGCTTTTACTTTTTCAGTGATATTTTATCCTGCAGAAAGGGTTCTGAGGCTTTAAAAAGTTTGGAAACAACTTTTGGGGGCAACAGGGAGCCAATGAAGGTCATTGTGTGGGGAAGTAGCAGAGACATTACTCCAGGGTCTTGTGAATTGTGAATAAGAGTTGTAACTTTTATTTATTTATTTATTTATTTTATTTATTTTTTGGGTGGGGGGGAGTTGTAACTTTTAAAGGCAGGAGGCCTCAGGCAGCAGCCAGGGGACATGGACATTGTGAGGACAGGTAGGATTCAGTGAATGGTTGGTTCTGGGTCATGTGATTGCCAGCCCACCTCCCCCCACAGTTCAGTGCTGCCTGATGACAGCCGGGCCAGCCGCCAAAGGACAAGGGTGGTGCGACGCAGCCTCAGCCCTGTGTTCAACCATACCATGGTTTATGATGGCTTCGGGCCTGCTGACCTGCGCCAGGCCTGTGCTGAGCTCTCCCTCTGGGACCATGGGGCCCTGGCCAGCCGCCAGCTGGGGGGTACACGCCTCAGCTTGGGCACAGGTGAGTGGGGCAGGGCCCTGGGGAGATCTGATGCTGAGAAGCAGGGGCTCCGTGTGTGGCCTCGGGCACTTCTCTGCCCTCTCCTGGGCTTTGGTGTCCACTGAGAACTGGGAGTGGAAGTGCATAATCTGGGACCAGGCAGGTGTTCCTTGAGACTTGGGGTGTCCGGTGTGACCACGGCCTCCATCCCTGTCTGCACATATCTAGGCAGCAGCTATGGGCTGCAGGTGCCCTGGATGGATTCCACACCAGAGGAGAAGCAGCTGTGGCAGACACTCCTGGAGCGACCATGCGAGTGGGTGGATGGCCTTCTGCCACTCAGAACCAACCTGGTCCCCAGGACATAGTTCTCCTATAAGCCACCCAACTTCTCTCGGGACCCCCATCTCAGGGCCTGCCCTTGGCTAAAACCAATAAAGTTTATTCTAAGGGCAGCAAGGGGCTGGTGTCTGTTTGGGGGTGAGGGTGATGTCGGGTAAGGGTGATGGTAAGTGAAGGAGAACAGGTGAAGGAACTTTAGACTCAGACGGAAAGACCTTAGGAAGCTGCGCCCAGGAGCCCCTGCCCCCACCCCTTACTTCGGAAGTTGCCAAGGCCCAAGCGTACAAAGGTGTTCTGTTTAATAGTCTTTGCCTGGCGGTACTTGCTATGCTTGGGGCATCTCTATGGTTGATTCTGCCCACTGGGGCTAGGCCTGGGCCCTACCCTGCCCCCCATCCACCTGGCCTCCTCCAGTTGACCCTGAGTCCTGGGGCAGGTATATCAGAAGCTTCTCCTATCTTCTCCATTCATCCATCCTTGGGTCTAGCCTCTTGTCTCTGAGCTCTCATTCAGCCTCTTGGGGGCCAGGGGTAACCGGCGTGGATCCTGCTCGCTGTGCCAAGATGGCTCTCCAGATGCGGCATACCATCCCTCCCCTGGGGATAGCAGGCTCAATGTGGCTTGCCAGAATAAGGTCTTGGGCCCTAATACCCAGTCTGCCTGATGCCCTCTCTGTCCCCAGAGGACACTGGTTTCCCTGTAATTTCCAGGGAGGAATCCAGGCAGGCATGTAGCTGGGGGTCAGGATCTGACCAACACGAAGCCATATGCATGGGTCATCCTTGGAGGGCCCAGGACATACCTGATGCGGGTGTAGATGAGGTCATCTCGAGTGGCACAGGTCAATAGGGTATGGAGGGTGAAACTGTGGTTCAGCAGCTGGTTGCGGACAGAGACCCGGATGCAAAAACAGTGGAAGAAAAAATCAGAGAAAGATGTGTTCAGAGACTCAGGTACTAGCTGTGTAGTACCACCAATATGCTAGGGCAAATACCCCTTTCGGGGCCGCAGTTTTCTCATCTGTACCATGGTGGGGGGGGTATACTAAGTGCTCTTCCCACAGTGAATTCTCTGTGTGAGGGGAAGAGAGAGGGGAAGTGAGAAGAGCTGAAAGATGGGCAGAGGTGGAGTCTTTCGTCGGTGGAGGTCAAGGATAGCCAGCACTCTCCCCCTCACCATCTGGATGGTGCCTGAATCCACATTCAGTTCCTGTAGCCACTGCACCAGGCCCTGATCCACTGTGAGAGCAGCTGTCAAGGAGGAGTCAGGTGGTGAATCCAGGGGTACTTCCTGCCAGAAGGTGCCTCACACTCACAGCTAGTGTTTACCAGCTCACCTGGGGGCTCGGAGGCCAGGGCAAAGATCCCTGCCTTCCGGCTGACCTGCTGTAGAGCTTGTTGCACCAGGGCCTGGCACTCCCGCTCCTTCTCAGCCAGGACATCTCGAAGCCTGTTGGAGAATGCAGAGGCTGGGAGAGTAGAATAGCCGGAGGAATGAGGGTGAAGCTGGTTCAGAGGGGATGGACAAGGCCCAGGGGCTTTACCTGTCAGTTTCTGCTCGCAAGAGGCTCAGCTGCACCATCAGGGGCGGGGATCCCTGCTCTGGTTCCCCAGGGAGCCGGCTCAACTTGACCAAGGTTTCCTGCTGCTTGGACTGGGGTTCCTCTTCTTTACTTGACTCCTCTGACCTCGGTGGGACCGCCTCCGTCTCCACCTCTGCCAAGCCAAGTGACTGGGGTGAGGTCAGGCAGGGAGGGAACGCCCATCTGGGATCCCCAAACACATCCCCAAACACTGGGGGTAAGGCGCAAGGCGCCAAGGCACTGGGTACCCGCCAGGCAGTGCCAGTCTGGGATAGGCCCGGTTGGCCACGCCCCACCCGTTCCTTTCCGCCCCTGCAGAGCCTAACCCCTACGGGCCACGCCCCCTCCCGGCCCTATTTGTGCTCGTCACGCCCCCGAGGGGGTTTTACCCTCGCTGGCCCGCCGACCAGCTCCATTCGGCCCGCCTGGGCCCAAGACAGGTAGGGCTGCCCGTACAGCTCGGCTGAGCAGCGAGTCCAGTACGAACATCCAGTGTGGGCGGATATGGCGCCTGCGGAGGATCTGCTTCACCTGGAGAGGGAGAAAGGGCGCTTGGCTGAGTCTCAGATAGAGGTGGGGCTCGAGTTGGAAAGCCCTAGAAAGCCTTCTGCCAAAGGCTAGTCGGGTAGGCGGACTTGGGGCCGAGGGAGGGGCTGGGAAGTTAGAACTGGGTAGATGTCCCTTTCCTGCGGGCTCTATCTTCACAGGGAGGACATGCAACCTTGCAACACCAAGTCCTTGCACATTCCCAGGCACAGGGAGCTCACTACCTCTTATTAGGCAGCCCTAACTTCAAGAAAGCTCCCTCACCGCATCCGGGAAGGCGAAGAGCGGTCCATGCAGAAGCGCCGGCCCGAGGCCTTGGGCCCGCAGCTGCCCTTGCAGCGCCCGCAGCTCCTGGGCCAGCTGCCGACGGTTGGGCGTGTGGATGTGCGCGGCGAGGCAGCGCAGCAGCTGTTCCACATGATTCCTGCCCAGACGGGGACCCTGAGAAGGAAGCGAGGTTGTCAGTGGGTGTTGCCGCCTGAATCAAGAGAGTTGCCGGTGGGTGGAGGAGTGAGGGAGGCGGTCAGCAGGCTTCCCGTCCGCGCTCGACCGCCAGGGAGCGCTGGGGCGGCCGCACCCACCTGTTCCTGCTTCAGGCGCAGATTCTCCGCCAGCGTGGGCAGCTCCTGCTCCAGCACCGAGGCCAGCATGGCCCTGCGCTTGCTCTCCTGGTGCAGCAGGCTCAGCCCAGAACTCTCCTCGGGGGACGTGGGCTCCTCCGCCCCGGGCTCCTCAGGCACCCTAGTGTAATGGGGAGCTGCCGGTGGAGGGCGGGTAGCAACACCGGCCAGCCACCTCCACCCCAGGGTTTGAATCCTGGTTCTTGTATTTTTATGCCTACCTCACAGGGATTCAAGAGATAAGCCTGGCACTGAGGTGGCACAATAAATAGAAGTCAGAGCATCTGGGAGGGGGCACCAAATGCCATCCTTGCAGGTGGCTGGAGGTGCCAAGGCCGGGCGGGGTGGGGGGCTTCTTCTGGAGGGAGTACAAGGGCAAACCCAGATGAGGCAAAGTCACTCTCAAGACCCTGGGCTCTCACCGGAGCTGGCTGGTGTCTCCATAACTGAGGCAGCGCTTGGGCGGACTCGGTGGATGCTGAAAGGGTGCCTGTGGGCACGGGAATGTCTGGGACTGGGTGGTCGAGTCGGCCGAAGGAGTGGGGCTGGCTGAAGGGGCATCTGAGGGAGGGACATGGCTGTCAGCATGGGCCCCCGTTCAGTCTTGTCACCTCCACAGCTCCTCTGCCCTCACCCTAGCATGCCCCCTCCCTCCACTTGTGTAGTACCTGAGGGCCGCGGTGCGGGTCTGGGGGAGCCAGGGCTGCGGCTCCTCTTCCCAGGCTGCAGGAAGGGGTCCCCCAGCAGTGCCTGAGCACTGGCTCGGAGACGGGGGTCTGGCTCAAAAGTTCGGAGAAGGAAGGTTTGGGCCTCCGCTGACAGAGAAGTGGGCATTGGCGGATGCACCTTGTACATGCCCACCTGGGAAGGGTCGGGGAGGGTAGACAGAGGTCAAGTTTAGAGGTGTTCAGGGCCCAGTCTGTCCCCACCCGACCTCATGAGCCAGGCCATGGGGGGGTCTCACCTGAAACATGGCGGCTTGCGGGCTCCCTAGCTCATGGAAGGGTGGGCGACCTGTGGCCATCTCGATAACAGTGCAGCCCAGTGACCAGATGTCAGCCGCCTTCCCATACCCTCGTGGGCCCTGGTCAATGATTTCTGGGGCCATATACTGTAGGGTCCCTAGGGCAGGAGCAGTAGCAATAGGGCTCACCTAGGCTTGATCACTGCGGGGATGGCAGGGGGCTCTATCATCCTCTGGCCACCTGCGCCCACAGTGAATTCTATCATCCAAACAGTTCCCATCACCTACCCTGGTGGTCAAACACCTGTCCTGAGTTTCCTCACTCATCCTAGGCTCTATCATATTCTGACTCCTTCACCCCCTGGAGGTTCCATCATATATCCTGGACAGCATCATCCACTCTGAACTCTGTCACACACTTTAGCCTGCATCGATATTTCTGAGCTCCATTTCAGGCACTTAAATTCACCATCATCAGCTATCCGAGATCCAGTTCTAGATTCTATCACCTCACCTCTGGCTCAATCACCAGCCCTGGGTTACATCCCCCATTAGGGCTCTAACTCCGTGGCCAGGAGAAACACCATTCCCTGAAAGGTCTTAAGAGTTCTTCTGTCCTAGGTCAGCACCCCACTCACCACCCCACACCCCACTACCTGTGAAGGTCTCAGTGCAGGGTGTGATGCCTGCCAGCCTCTTGGACGTGCCGAAATCAGAAATCTTGAGCAGCCCACTGAAGGTGTTGATCAGTACATTGTCCCCCTAAGTAGAGTAGACATTGTGCTCAGTGCACATCAGGCTGGGCTTCTGATGGCAAAACCGGACCCTATCCTGGGATCCCATCTCCTAGAATCCCAGCCTGACCCCACCTCTATCGGCCTCCTCCCTCTTCGATCCCACTTATGACTCCTGGGACCTGGCACCTGGTTTGCCTTCAGGTCTGAAGTTCTTTCCTTCCCTAGGGAGCCTCCTTGATTAAATTCCCCACCCTTTGCAAAGGGGTCTGCACTCTTAATTTAAACTGTCAGTCTCTGTCTGGAGCCATATCTCCTCCTGTCCCCCTTCACCAGTGAGCCAGGGTGGGCCAGCTACAGGGCTTACCTTTTTTCATTTTTAATAATTATTATGATGATTATGCTTTTTAAAAAGTCAGCTTTATAATTACTTTATAATAAAAGCCAAGGATATAATTTACATACAGCAATTTTTACCATTTTCAGAGCATAAGTCAAATGGCTTTGACAAATCTATACAATTGTATAACCACAACCAAAATAATAATATTGAACATTTCCATTACCCCCAAAGGATTCCCTCATACTCTTTTTTTTAAATGATCTCAGGAATAGAACTTAGTGATTCATCACTTACATATAACCCCCAGTGCTCGTCCCAACAAGT